GTCCGGCAGCACTCTAGTTATCATTAATTAGAGTTACATTTAACTTTTAGATAATTTCGAAAAAAGCTTTTTCACGTCATAGTTTTTTTAGCCTTAATTTTCAACCTTAACATATTTTTCTTCGTACGTACTAGTTAGATATAGAACGAAAAAATTACATTTTTCCCACTAATAATTTTTTGATGAGAGATCTAAATTTCTTAATTCTCTTCACATTTATGTGCATTTTGCCATATTTAGTAATAATATGAGTTTTGACCGCAATGATGTTTCAAACGATATTTTAGTTTGCATAGTATTGTTATTCCCCTTTACATACTGTTTATTAATCAATATTACAAATGTATGCTAAAAGTCTTTAAACATTTTAGTTTTTTTATTTTAAACAAACAAATTATTCCAGCTTGGCTAAATTTAGACATATTGAATATGATATAAATTTTTCTGATGTTTTGACCTGCACCTTTTTGCATTATTAAACTTCTCTTTAATTTGCAAATTCAACCGTCAACCCTTCTTACTAGTCGGGCATTACATTAATTTTCAATAAAGACCCAAAACAGATTTATTCTACGTGTCTTATTTTATCAAGAAAAGACTCTAAGAAATTGTTAATGATATATAAATTCTATCCTAAAACTTTTCTTGTACCTGCATTTCCTTGCTCCATAGGTGCGATTGTTGAGATCAAGTGATCTTCCATTTTCTCAGGTTCTGCTCCCGTAATAACAAGATCTGGAAGCCCCGATTTAGTTAAGTAGCAGGTAGATCTGGTAACAGCTTGAACACGTTCTCGTAGCCATCTTGTTGGGCTAATATCTAGCCGGTGAAGAGAGCATGGCGCTTTATTCAGTTTCCAACTTGCCGTCCGGTTTTCTCCGTCCTCTTTATATGTCCTGTTTTTAATTTCTGTTGTCCCTGTACCCAACAATGGCGCGCTTGTTGCCGTTTGTTTTTGAGTGTTTTTTGACCCTAAATATTGTAATTCCCGGTTTATTGTGCTGTCTGCATCTGCAAAAATGCTGGTCTCCACTCGCGTTTCATTGCAGCCAAAAGTGGTTCTGGCCTTATTGTTTGCTGATGACAATTTGGCCACTGAGTAATCACCAACGCTTCCGTTTCGACGCCAAATTCGCGCTTGGTAACCAAGGCATTGGAGAGATCTTGGCAAATGGAAGCTTCTACACTTCGGAGACTTGGATCTTGTACGTTTATTGTGTATCTCTTTCAGTTTGTCCCCCATCTTGTCGCTCATTGTGTGTATACTGTTCGAAGTTGAATGCGACTTTCGCTTAATCGAATCATTTGGGTGTAGCACATCCTTACTATCCACTGGCTGTGAACGATGGCGAAGCTGTTGGAATGGAAGAATTGGTAGAATGAGGAATAATTCTGCAGGCAACGAACTTCGCTGGCAGGATATGCCACTCTGTTGCATGGGCTTGCAAATATAGCGCTGATGCTCGTCTGCGTTTTCGAACTTATATTTTTGTTGTAACTCTTCTTTTGCATCAATATCTACAGTTTCATTCCATTTTAAGTCATATAATTGACTATCCTTGACCACATTCTGGTCCATTTCTTGATGCTG